CAGGAATGCTACAATCATCTAGTCCAGTGATTCACAACCAGGGTGCTGCAGCACTCTAAAATGCCATGAAATCTCTCACTAGGGATTTTCTTAGCATATGTCCTTGACACAGGCAAATGGATACAGAGAGAATACTTGCATAGCCTCTTGATTCTTCTAAGACAGGCAAAAGTAAGTGGGAAACAGTTTCATTCTGAAATAACTGGATAGTTATAAGCTACTTCCAGGTGTTAAAAGTTTGTCCAACAGAACTATTTCAAGTCCTACATCTTTCACTTTACTGCTACTTAGCCTATCTACATCAAAATCATACCTTGACTGCAGCGGAGCTCCGCCTAAAATTAATGTAGAAAGTTTTTGACCCAACTCTTTAGAAAAACAGATCTTCTATAGCAAAACCCCCAGTTTTTCTTCTTTTTTTTTTAATTTTAAAATACATTCCCTCCCTTCCCCAACTATTTCTGACTTTTTCTCTCCCTCTCTATTCCCTATAGATAAGTATGAATAAGCTAAGACATAGGATAAGCTTAGCATTTTATTTTGGTAGCAATTTTTTTTTCCCCCTCTCCTTTGCACATAAGTGCCCCGTTATGGATATCCACTGTTTTATAGTGTATAATTATTATGTGTATATTGATTTTTACTGTTTTATATTACTGTTTTACTGATTTTTAGTGTTTTTTTCTATTGATACTATATGATTTAGGCCTACATGTTTAAGTTAGCATAAGTAAGGTCAAGTTATGTCAAGCCTCCATCTTGTCTCCTCTGCCTGGGTGTAACTTATGACTTATGTCTAACCAGTCTCATGTAAATAGGTTTCTGAATGAATGGAGGTGAATGAGGGTGCTTGAGATACAATGGTAGTAGGCCTACTGAATACTCAATTCAACAACTGAAGCATCAGCTCAATGACTGGACCATTGCCTTCCACTGACTCATCCAGGAACCACAGACCCAGCATTTGAAACACAAAGACCCTACAGAAATCAGCTAATCCATTATTGCAACACAGACACCTGAAACTGCACATCCTTGCCTGGAGTGCACATGCTCAGTACACCAGGGCTGACCCTTGCCTGGGCATGCCTCCTGTCACTAGGGTCATAGAAGATCTGCCCCTATAAACAGGGGTAGTGAAGACAGACCCAGTGGGATGTCCTCTCCACCACACCACACCACCTATCCACCCAGAGGCCCTGCCGGCGACCCCCTCTGGACAACACCTTGCTGGAGAAGACCCTGACTGGCCATCGAGGATCAACTCACAGCCCAGGATAGGTAGCTATCACCCGCTTCCTTCTCCAAGCAAAGGACCTGGACTCTGTCCCTATACATCTTGACTTCAATCCCTCCACCAAGCCTTTTTCTCTACTGCTACCATTGTGTGGGTGTGTATGGGAGTGCTTGTGTGGGTGTGTAGGAACCAATAACTTTGTGGGGCTGTGTAGTGTGTTGTCTGTTTAATAAACCTGTTATTTTGAAACCCCAAGTTGGGTTTTTGTCTTATTGACCTCCCGACCCTCCTCCTTGATTTCTCAGCTATCTCCCAGCTTTCTGCTTCTCAGTTTCCCTGGATGTCTCCTCGCCACCGGGTTTTTTGCCTTGCTTCCACCCCAGCACCAGGTGACCCCAAGTAGCCCCAGGGTACATTAACCATAAGTAACCCCAAGCCCCAGTGACCCCGGGGCCACCTGACCTTCAGTAACCCCAGCTCCTCCCCAGTCTGCCGGTTCTAATCCCAGCCCTGGCAACTTTCACTCCTGGCACTTTCACTCTCATTTTTCCTTCTCTCATCTTAAACCCCATCCATCTCCCTCCTCCCTCTCCTTCTGGAAATCTTTGACACTTGATTCCTCCTCCCATAGTCACCAAGCACCCTAGGTACCCCAAGCACACACATACATACCACACCACCCAAGTCAGGAACTCACCTGTGTGTATGTGTAGGTGTGTGTGTGAACTGGCAAGTATATATATCTATATATATCATCATGTGCGTGGTATACGAATTGGTAATCCATGTATGTGTATTGGGTGTGCAGGTATTGACAATTGATTTTTGTCTAACTTTTGGTGTATATCCTGTGTAGGTGCTTGAATTGGTGATAGGTGTGCATGTGCTTAGACTAGTAATCTTGGATGTGTATGCACCTAGTGTGTGTGTGCCTAGTCATTTTTGTGTGTGTATATATGTGCAATTGTGTCACACCCTCCCGTCTAACAGTGCAATTTTGAGATCCTGAGAGTTGGCCTGGCCCTACAGGACAACACTTCCATATGGAACGCCTCATCTTTTCATGGGAAAAGAATCATCCAGCAGGCACAAGTGTAACTATTCAGGAATTTAAACTATAAACACAGGAAGGACTTTGAGCACTGTATACAATACCAGAGAAACAGGCAAGGGGAAGCAAAAAAGTGAAGGTCACAGTTTCTTACATAATAGCAAGTTACAAGTTTGAAAAAAAAAAGTGTTGTGGGTAACTGAGGGTATACTGTATAGCAGAATAAGACACAGGCCCCTTTAAAGTTTACTAATTTAAAAATATTAGCATATTAATATTATCAATCATACCCTTCTTTTGCAATGTATACAAAACATTGCTATTAGCTGAATGCTCAAATAGCTTTTAAGAAAAAATGTTTCTGTTCATTTTGGCTGAAAACAAATTTGAAAGTGTGAACTTTGTGTAAACAGATGTAGTCTAATCTTCTGGAGTTTGGAGACAGCTTTAAAATCTAAAAGAAAAAAAAAACCCAAAACAACCCAAAAAATCCCTGTAATATAGGCCAACTGGCAGAGGCACAGGAGGGCAGCTTTGTGCAAGGGACAGGATGAAGAGCTAGTAAACAAATGAATACTGAGAGAGAGCAGTCTAATCCTTTAGGGTAACATTCAGTGGAAATGAGGGAAGGTAAAAAAAAATGTTAGCTGTACAATGTAAATATAAATCATTATAAATTAAACATATATAAGTAAAACCTACACAAACACATCAATTTAAAAGTCTTTAACTTAAGGCATCTATTTTTTCACAGTAGCAAGAGTTTTGATACTGGCATATTTTGCTTGAGTTTGAATATTTCGCCCCAGTATTTGCTAACCTTCCAATTATTTGTTACAGATTCCTTGTGAAGTCAACCAGCTAAGTCATTTCTACAAACATTGACATGATCTCTAGTTCTACCTGAGGCCTAAGAAAGTGGTCTCTTCTTTCTAATACTATTTAGGTCTTTATTTTAACTTTTAGTTGAAACATTTATTATAATTTTAAGTTGTACTATTATTTATGAGTAAAATGCAAAATCTATCCTATATTACCATATATTAATAAAATACAAAATTTGTTTGTGCTAAATTCCACAGAGCACATTTTTAGATGGTGATCCCTGTGTTTCTATCATGCAACTCCACTGACATTTATCTTCACATAGTGCTTTTGTACTTCCTTGTTGCCACAGAATGCTGAGGAAAGACCTTAGATAGTATTAAACCCTGGTCCTTATGATATTTATTTTCTTTCTTTCATAAAATGTGTCTATATCATTGCCTTAAAATTAAATCAACTGCTATTCCTTATTGTCATGACCCAAAGGGTATGATTGTGTGTGCGCTTCAGTACTGCAGAATTATTTCCCGCCACATGGAGCTTTCTTTGCACGGTGCAATTCTCAGTTGCATAGAGAAAACCCAGGTGCAAAGGAGTTCCCGCCACCCGTATGTAAATTTGTTTTCCACTATTGGCTGTTTCTAAATTATTCCCACGTGGCGGCTAGCGATTGGCTTGCTAGCCGTATAAGAGGCTTGAGCAGTTTCCGCCCAAGATGGAGGAGGAGGACTTCACATCCATCTCGTGAAGAACTCTAAGCGCGCTGTGGAGCCTAACAAACTCCGCGTGTGCCTTAAAGGAGGATACAGGGGCCTGATCAACCTCTAGCCTCTCCCCGTCGCCGCACGATCCCTTGACGTACCCCACCCTGCGCGCTCGTGGAGAGTCACCTTTCGGACTCTCATTTCAGACGGTCCACGGAGCCTAGCAAACTCCGTGAGTGGTATCCGGAGCTCTGTTCGTGTTTGTTTAGCGGAGCCTAGCAAACTCCGCTCGTGTGTCTTCGGCGGAGCCTAGCAAACTCCACGTGTGTGGGGTTTTTTTGTAACTGCAACTCAAGAAAGTTTTCTTGCCTGCACCGTGACCACCTACGGTGTAAGTAAAATAATCTTTAATCAACCTCTACGCGTCAGTGCCTAATTCTAGTTTGCCGTGCCGACCTTTTCCCCGGCCCACGTGCCTGGGCTGCTGGCCACAGCCCCTCGGCCCCGACACTTATATGAAGGCTACTGCTGCAAATAATTACATTGACAAAAACTAGCAAACAGTCTGAGCAATATCTCTTCCCTATACCTGCCAACATTTTTTTACTATGTATTATTAGTTCTTCTACTAAATAAGTTCTTCTTACTTAAAGGATAAGCCTAGAAAACTGAGTATATGTACAGGTGCACATAATCATCACATCATCTTTCGCTAAGGCACGGTAACATCGATAAATAAAAAATGATGGCATTATGTTGATTAAGCTCCCTGAACTTGGATCGTTATTTTGTTGCTTTTTATAATACGAGAAACATTTGTTTTCTATTATAGTTTAATATCTGACTTGCTTTTACAAGTTATTTTGGCTCTTATTTTAAGTTGCCCTAAGCCTTTGCTGGAAATGGTAACATAAATCCAATAAACCAAAAAACACAAAGTTAAGTCAGTGTAGTATGTCAGTATTATAATCACCACCCTATGAAAAAGGAATATATTTACCTCATTTATTCTCTGGAATAGAGGAAAAAAATAATGTCTTTATATTGATTATTATAATATATAATTATTTTATCAAACCTGAGAATCAGCTCCGCCTGATGCAAATTTTTCTCCACCTTTTGAAAAGGCCACGGAAAGGACAGGTCCCTGTAGCAATTAAAAATTAGTTTAGCTCATTGTTAAACTATTTTTATTACAGTAATTGCATGTTTGCCTCTATGTTGAAATAAATAACAATAACAACCATCATCATCTATCTATTCAATGGTACTCAGCTGAACAATAGATTTCAAATGCTAATAAATAAGGAACTGCAATATCAATGAAAATGTATGCTTAAAAAGTCGTCTAAAAATGTAAAAGGTTTATTGAGAAGAAGTTAAAATTATAGTTATATTACATGCCCTGGTAGAGTGGAAGACAATACAGGACTCCGCACGTTAGCTACATAGTAGATATATATTAATACAATCTAAGTCATGCAATTGTTCATGCAGCCTAAAGCCAAGAAGCTACTACACAAGGCAGGAATATATTGATTACTGTCATGTTGTCATTGTTCAACTAGCACTATTTGCCATAAATGTGTAAGATAAGTCTCATATTTTGAATTATCGATGATAAAAATAGGATTTCTTGTATACCTTAGAGAAGAAAATATGAATAATACTGGCATTCTTGCAGGAAATTCCTGCCATGCTCCATTAATTAGAGAAGGTTTCAGAGCATAGAATTTCCCAGCTAAAGGAGTAATGTGCCAATTAACAAAGACCATAAACTTCTTGATTTCAGATACTGATTCACTATGAAAAACTATTACCCAGAGTTAAACACACATGTAGCATTGATAGGTTAACTCAAGGATGTCCAATTCATCTGGCCCCACAGACCAGACGAGAGTCGTTGGGCTGGTCTGCAGGCCAGACAGGACCAATCCCCTGGGCAACTTCCTTACCTGATTCCATTTCACCCCTGCCTGTCACAACCTCAGGGTCCCTGCAGGTTCATTCCCTCATTGTTTCTTGCCTAGCCTCCAAGGCCTGGGCTGCTATCCCTGCACAGGGTGCTCAAAGGGCTGAAGAGTAAAACACATCAGGGAATATTGCTGTGTTGCCCCTAGCCTGGCCTGCGCTTCTGACAAGCACAAGGGCCAGCGCCTAGCGGAGTGAATGCCACGCCCGGGAGCTGCCATCACACCCTGGGCTGGAAGTGCAGATGCTCAAACTTCCCCACAAGTTCCTGCTACTCCCCCCACCCCCGCCGCTGCAGGCACTTGGGCTGCAAAGCCACACACGGTGGCCCAACTGCAGATGCCTGACCCAAACCCCATGCACATCTCCTATGCCAGCCTCTGCTTCCCGCCATGCAGGTATTCGCTCTCCTAGGCACCCAGACCCAGCAATGCCCACGCTAGCCTGCAGCCCCCAGCCCCCAACGAAGCCCCAGCATGTGGCCTGTCCCTTAACCCTGGGAAGCCACAGAAGAGCCCAGGCACCTGGGCAGCAGATGGGTACAGCTGGGCCTCCTGATGGATCCACTCTCCCTTTCCTCTAGATGGCATCAGAAAAAAAATCTGCCCCAGGAAGGGCTGTAGGGCTTCCACACACTGCAGGCAGCATGGGAGGCAAACAAGGGGCGTCACATGCAACCCACGCCCCAGACCCCTTGTGTCGGAGGTGGCACTGGGCTCAGCCTGCATTCCACAGGCAGAGCATACTCTGTGCTGGCCCTGGGAGGATCACATGCACAACAAGCCCCAGGGCCAGCACATGCTGCCCACAGCACAAGGAGTCCAGTGCACTGGCATCTTGCAGCACCCCATGCTTGCCCCTTGTGCTGCATACACTGCACTGGCACTGGGACCAGCAAATGGGGGCAGTCTAGCAACCCACGGGCCAGATCATATGGCTCCATAGACAAAATCCAGCCTGCAAGCCATGTGACACCCCAAAGTTAATTTTCCGACTGTCACTACAAACCATGTAATTTATCAACTTGTGAGAAGCTCTATTATTGCAAGACTGTTCTCCATTGGAAATGTCATGTAATTGTGGAACAAAGGTCATTCATCTTCTAACGGAGCTATGAAATGTATATAGGGTAAAATTCGCTATCACCCTGGTTTAAAAAGCATAACTGCACTATAGTTGTACCTTGTGTCCATGGAGTGTATATATGAGTCTTCCCTCCAAAAGGTCCATAATCTTAAGGGTGCCATCAGAAGCAGCAGTGATGATATAGTTACCAGAAGGATGAAATGATACACAATTCACTTCTGCTCTGTGAACTAATTTACACAAGACAAAATTCAGGCATTGATATTAGATCTTGGAAATATTATAAGACGATTTAAAAAAAATATATATATCTGGTATTTGAGGCACTGGAAATGATCAGTTCCACTTATTACTAAGAAAAAACATGATGAGCAAACCCACACTTCATTCCAATCTACTGCAAAGAAAAGTTTCAAAATTAAGGAAAAATAATGCAATAAATGTTTTTATTTTATTCAGGGTACAAGGAGTTTTTTTGCAGTAAAGATGAGGAACTCAAGGATACTAATTGGACAAAGAAACATCCTTCTAATATACCTTCAAGTAAATTTTCACCAATTCACTTAGCAACAACACCAATTTATAATGCACAAAAAATTTGAGTTTTACTGAAACTTAAGTCAGTTGGAAATGAGAAAAAAATCAGGTGTTAATGGAGGAGCAGCAGCACTCTGAATGTAGCTCATCTTTATATTTAGAAAAATGTTGGTCAAGATATGTGCACATATACAAAAAGTAGCAGCAGCCAACAGGTTAAGACTCCATTGCCCCAAGAATCACAATGACAGAGTACGTTAGTACGTTAATGTTTTAATTTGGTTATTTGAGGGGAAAAATGGGTTTTGCTATAAAGCTAGAGGCTTAGAAAATTTAAAATTTTCAATAGTCATAAACATTTAAAAAACCCCTTCCAATAAGCCTCTGTATTATGTCATAAAACTATAAAAACCGAAATGATTGCTCCCAATGAAGACATGTTTTTCTGGAAAAGTAGATAGATAAAGCCTTGTATTTTTAGCTGCACTCTAAACCACAATGTGCGTTTTCAATAGAAAAATTGACATACTGTAAAAATACTGAATTACGCTATTAACCACAGATGTGCATTTAAAAAGGTCTTTCATAGTATGATGCACATTTGATTTCACAGTACAAAGACAAAATGGGAATAACATTCTTAATGAAAAGTCTAAATCTTAAATATGCTCCCTTCCATTCATAGGCCTTCTGCCCATATAGGTTGTAACGGGGCAGTTTTACACCCTAGAAAGTGGTGATGACACCAGGCCACCTGTGGCATTGGCTACAATTAGTGTGTCTCCCTACTTAAGCCAAGACCTATGGCTAGTGCTATTCCCATATCTCCAGTCTTTCCTAGATGACCTACTAATGGCCTGAAACTTAAAATTCAGAAGTTGTATCCCAAATTAATAAAACAGCCTATTCAATCTCAGAATTTTGAAGAAACAAAAAATACAAAATCAATTTTAATATATAATTTTCTTTCCATAATATATGGAATGAGCTCTAAAAATATTTATCTATTACTTGCAACACTGATGCTGAGTGGGAGAAGACCATGAGAGGACTAAAGAAAGGTGGACCACACCAGGCAACTGATCAGTGGTACAGGAAGAATACGATGCTTCCAGACTTTGGGGGCTTATGCTCTAACCACTAAATTAGACCATCTCAGGGTAACTCTTTATAAGCAACACTGGATATTTCTTACAGACATTTACTACAGAATACAGTAAAACCTGGATTATTCTTAGCCACCTGATTTTCAGATCACTTAATTTTTAATTCTTAATTTGACAGCCTGTTGTGAAATTAACTGCTTAGCTGTTTGCAGGCGGTTTTCACTTCAGAACAAAAACCGCTTCTCCATGCAACTGGAGCTCATCAACGATCCCATGAAGCTAATCAAACAAATACCACCCTTAGAAATAAAGGCTGCAACATGCAGCTGGTACACCTCAGAGATCCACACAGCTGTTTGCTGTAGTTCTGTCTACCCTTGAACACTTCACAAACCCTCATCTTCACAGGAGGGTCCCATTTTTGGTTCTACATGCTACTCTACAACACTTCTATCTACACCACTTCTATAATGGTCACGCAGTAGACTCTGTGCTCTAAACCTAATAGAACATTTGTCTTCATATACAAATAGTAGTGGGATTCTCTGCCAAGATGGCCAAATAACTGTGCTGTTAAATTCAGTGAAATCAACATTTTCTGGCAAGTTACAATTCCATTAGGCCAGGGTATAATTCTGTCTCCTCTCAAGAAGAATTAGCATACAAAAGAGAAAAAAAATTAAGATTATTATTCTCAGCAAAACAGAATTAATTATGGCTTGCTACCACTACAAATGGATGCAGATACAAATAAAGAATAGTTAAAAGTATATTCTTTCAAGATATTTTACTTATTTTGATTATGCATTCTTGAAAAATTAATTCTTTTAAAGAAAGTAAAACTTAAAAAGTAGAAAGATTATATATCTCCTTGTAATTAAAGCTTTTACCTTTGTAATGCTGCAGTAACTTGTTCATTCGAATATCCCAGAGTTTCACTGTATGATTAGCACCCGCAGAAACTACACACGTACCACTTGGATTGAAATCCACAAAATTGGCAAATCTAAATGGAAATAATGAAAAGAGATTGAATTAGTCCCCATTTTAGCCAAAACGCATTAATCTGAATAAATTAACATTACTTGCCATATGCTAATTTGGATTCTCCATTCTTCTAGCTCTAAGACCTAAAATTATTCTAATCAGGAGGAAACAGGAAAAGAAAAACAGCTCTACTAAATGCAGACAGCTGACCCTACTCATTTAGAGAAGTTAGTCTATTTGCTGTGGCATGTTGGAATGACCCAGCTAGGATCCTAGGCAGGTTGGTCCCAAGACAGGAGCGGGCAAAATATGGCCCGTGGGCCAGATGCAGCCTGCCAGGCACTCTGATCCAGCCCGCAGAGCTGACCAACGAATTGTACCCCTCCCAGCCCTTCTGCCCACAAGGATGGGAGGGAGGCACCCCCATTATATATATATATATATATATATACACATATATACATGCCCCCAACATATCCCATTGCACTTCATTCCCACCCTCATGTGTGGAAGTGCCCAGCCCAACCAGCAGGCAGCTTCCAGGTGGTGCTGCTGCTGCTGCTGCTGCCGCCGGAGACCTGTTTAGCTTCCCCAGCGTCCCGCTCCCTCCAGACAACAGGTAGGGAAATGGTGGGAGCAGGGGCGAAGCTACAGCTGGGTGGGAGTGCAGAGCATAGGGCTGGCAACAGCATAGAGCCCATGCCCAGGGAGGCGGTGGCAGCGCAGAGCTCAGGTGGGCAGGGTGTGGGTGTGAGGGAGGGTGGGGACGTGGAGACTCACCATGTACTCCCCCCATGATGCGCAGCCCCTGCAGACAGCAGCAGCAGCTGGGGGCACTCGGGACGCTTGTGCCCAGCAACATGCACCTCCGGCTAGTACTGCCCATCACGGCGAGGAGAGCAGCCCCCGCCGAGCCATCTCTATTGCCAGCGCTCAGCGCAGCCCCCCACACTTGCACGACATAGGAGGGAAGCCCCACGCACTGGAGCCAGCTGCCTTCCCCATACCTGCCACGGGACCTGTGTGGCGGGAGACAGAGAAGGAAGCTGGCTCCAGCGCATGGGGCTTCCCTTCTCTTCTGCATAAGTGCAGGGGCTGCGTGTGCATGGCAGGGAGCACTGGGGAGAGAGATGGCCCAGCAGGGGCTGTGCTTCTCACTGCGACGTGCAATACTGGACACAGCTGTGCACAGCCAGGCACCAACTCCACCACCTGCTGCTGCACCATCGGGGCAGGGGAAGTATGGGGAGGGACCCCACGCCCCCCCACCCTCCCTCTCACCCCACAGACGCCACACACCCACACTCTACCCCCACATATACATGCACCCCAACTTACCCTTTGCCCCTCCCACACACAGCCACACCTCCTCACAACCTTCCCCACCATACACACACACACCCCACCACACTTTATACAAGACTAAGAAGTTATTTTTTAATTATTATGCCATCACCTCTATATGCAGTACACAAACACAAGTCATGACAAAAATATTTTTTGTAATAAAATTAAAATATGTTATAGTAGGTGCTTGAGCTTTAGTGTATGATTTGGGGGTTTTTTTCTGGTTCTAAGATGGCAATCCCCCTCCTCCAAAAAGAAGTATTTCTGGGGCCAAGGATTTCCAGTAGCAAAGGTCAGGGATTAAGGGTGGGACTTCCAGTCCCAAGATGATGACCAGGGGGCGGGACAACTCTAAAGGGGCAGGGCTACCTGTGCAGCTCTCTAAAGCTCACCAAGCCTTGTTAAGCGGCCCTCCACCCAAAATAATTGCCTGACCCTGTGCCAAGACCTGGCTGTTTCTGCTGCTGCTTCTCCCTACCACCTGGCCTTGGCTACAGCACAGGTAAAACCACCCACCAGCGAAACTCCCAGCCACCTGGCTGTGGCAGCAGCACAGGCAAAGCCCCCCCTGCTGCCCAGGTGTGGTGTGGAATAGGTCATAAATTGCTGATCCCTGGTTTGCATCAAAGATAGATACAATGAACTCTTATTTAAGTGCATACATTTCACAGATTCAGTCAGGTACCTCAATACCTTTGCGGGCTTGGACCTTCTGAACAATAAAAAAATTGCCTTCACTCTACAGAAAACATGTATATACAAAATTTTCCCTAATCCACCAACAGAATCAGAGGACTTGGTTGGCACAAAAAACAAAAAAAAATGGAATTGCAGGTAAGGAATTATTTTAAAATATCCCTTTGGGTAATTCATACGGAGGGAACATGGAAACAATAGCAACAGATCAGGCATAGGGTTTGAATTCTAAAAAACAATATTGTTTACAACTATTTGTTCAATGCAGCATGTATGTGGATAAGTCTACCTAGCATACTCCTCCCTTTTAGCAAAGAAAGAAAACCCTTTAGGACAAGAGACTCCACTCCTGGATTTATTCACAGATTCTAAACCTCATCTGGTTACCTTGAAGAAAAGCTCCTCCATCCAACCCCTCGCTCTAAATCCATTTCCTTGTTATTAGCATGCTAGATATAATACTTGGGAGCACATCATACTTATGCCACTACTTGAACCACTTCACAAAAAAGCTGAAGGGAAACCTGGCGTTTTTTGGAAAGCCACGACACACTCTTCTACAGCTGTCATTACCCTCATCTCAGGGGTGCTCTACTCTTAGGCTATAGGCAAAATGAAGCCCACAGAGCTGTTGCATCTGGCTCACAAGGCTCCCCACAGGTCAGGGAATTTGACAGGAGGGGAGCAGTGGCCATTAATATGGCCACACACCCCCAAAAAAATCCTCAAACCCCCAAGGATCCATGCACCTGCCTGGAGCCAAACCATGACCCCTTCCCCCTTTGAGGCTGGGCCATACCCCCTTTTTCCCATGGGGCAGGTTTGGAGCTGGACCACGCGTCTTTCTACCCTGTAGGGCCAGGCCATACCTCCTTTCCCATGGGGCCAGGTGGAGGCAGAGTCATGCTGCCTCCCCCTCACCTGGCAGGGCCAGCCTCTCCCACAGGACTGGGCTTAAGCCAGGCTGCCCTTATCCCCCTCTGCATGCCCACATGATGGTCACTGTGCCAGGTTGTGGATCAGAAACTCTATCCAGCATGTGGTCAGACCACACACAGGCTTTCTGGCCTGCTGAAGAAAAAGGTTTATGGGAAATGTAGGATTAAAGAAAACCAAATCTTTTCTATGGGTAAAAGATGACCTGACAAGTTGCAATATCAGGAAACCATCCTTACCGCTTTGATAAGCATAAAAGGCAACAGTTAGAAATTATTCAATATCAAACCATCCTATTCTAAATGATAATGAACCAAACAGAAAGGACTAGGAAAACAAGTAATCAGAAGACCAAAAAGGGGGAGGGAGGATTATTCTCATCTCCTGGAGATGGGAAAAACACACCTAAACAGCTGGGCAGGTACAACCAGACAGCTGATCTTTAAAATAAAGCCACAAGAACTTCACTTAAGAACTTCACTTTTTTCCCCCCACCATTTCTTTGGTAGTAGGAAAACGTGCATCTATTCTCAGGCATAGCTTAGGGATACTAGTGAAATGTTGTTTAAGACATGTGATATTGTATTAAAGCCATATATTTCTGTGGGCGCACCAATAAAAATTTTCTGGGCTGATGCCAATAGCCAATTATATATTCACCAGGCATATCAGCCAATACTGAAACAATAGCTGATTTACAGAAATGCAGCCAGGTAGCGTGGAAAGCAGTGCCCTTCAGGTAAGTGGTGGAGGGGAAGTGGCATGGGAGGGGCAGATTGAGGCCCTCATGGTGAGGGAGGGAGTAGGGCACGGACTAGCAGGGCAGTGAATGAGACCGAGCTGATGGCAGCTAGTCCAAAGGATCAGCATCCCAGTGCTTAAAAATGGCTGTGGGGGCACTTCAACTAAAACTTATTAAGTGAGCTTTAGTTCAAGTGCCTCCGCCACCATTTTTAAGCATCGGCACATTTTTAACCAGAGCAGAGCCAAGCTGGACAAGGGCAGAGGCAGGCTGCCCACTGTGGACTCTGGGCTCTTCATCCTGCTGCCGTTGCCCCAGGAGCCACGTGCTGGCCATGCTGTGCACCCTGCCCATCTGGCAGCAGTGGCAGCGGCAAGCTGTGCCTCCAACTGCTGGACAGGCAGGGGTGGGCAGCGCAGCCAGCATGCAGCTCTGGGGGTAAGGGCAGCAGGGAGGAGAGCCCCAAGCCCACAGTGGGCAGCCTGCCTCTGCCCTCGCCCCACTCAGCTCCACTTCAGTTAAAAAAGCATCCTGGAGCTTAAAAATGGTAGTGGAGGCACTTGAACTAAAGCTCATTTGATGATCTTTAATTCAAGTGCCCCTGCTACCATTTTTAAGAGCTGGGGTGCTGATCCCCAGGACAAGCCACCAACGGTTCCATCCTGCTCCTCCAGGGTCCCACTCACCACCCTGCCTCAGCCCCAGCCCCTGACCCACTCCCTCACCATGGGGGCCTCAAGCTACTCCCCCCATTTTCCCCACAATCTTACCTGCAGGACACTGCTCTCCGCGCTGCCCAGCTGCGTTCCTGGCTGGTGCATGCATGTGGCGTCCGGAGGCTCCAGCCAGAAGGCATATTAAATTTAAATTTATCAGTACATTATTGGCTACACCAGCCAAAAAAGCCGATAATGTTAATTTTCCTCTTATTGGTATCAATCCGATATGACGCCAATATATTTGTGCATCTCTATATACTTCTACTCAACTTTCTCTTCCATAACACTTACCCTTCATAGTCTGTGAAACTATCGACACACACTTTATTTGTTGTATCCCAGATTCTAACAGTTTTATCTTCACTGCAAGATGCTATTAATCTTCCATCTGGTGAAAATCTGGGAAGTAAAAAAGTTTCAGTGAAATAGTATCAGATGTTTAGTATTACAGGGAGGAGAAAGAAACACCTAACCACAATCTAACTACACTGAGGTAAGTTACCTAATTGTGGAAGTTGTGTATCCACAGCTTTGGACAATTTCAGTTGACCATCTCAAATGCAGCTACAGCTGTTATGTGGTCCCCCTGAACCTGGGTGTGTCCCAGGTTCAGAAAATTATGAGTCAGGGGAAATGGGAGGTCATAAAGGAGTTCTGTTTTTAATTTTAACTACTGCTCTCTCAACTGTGAATATTTCAAAAGTATTAACACACACAAACCCTTTGCCATAACTTTTCAAGCAATCATGGAACCACTACTATTTAAGTTTTCCTAAACTGGCTAATCAGGTTTTGCCGCAGGCTTTATAAATCACCAAACTAGTTTGCCTCCAATTTCACCATCCCTATTATTTGAATAGAGAAGCAACACTGTATTCTGTAGTCCTGTAACAGTTTTCAGATATAAGTACTTGTATTCGTCATCTTACTAGTTAAATCTTTTAACCATCTAAAATTTCATGAGATTTTATTCATTTGAATGCATTCACAATTTTTCCAACAGCTTTAAAAATGTGTATTTAATAATGTTCCATGTACCACCCAGCAACAGGAATTTCATTAATAACCAAGTTAAGTAGCAATGAGCAATTCACTCTCTCCTTTTCTTCAGAAATCTACTCTACTTATGTGGGGCCATCCTTGCCTTTTATTTTAAGGGACATCTCTTTGTGCCATTTCCATTTTTATAACATGACTATAGCCTACTTGGTATTTTCTTGTGATCATCTCTATATGCCCTTCCAATCTTAACAAGTATGGAAGAATTTTTTTTTAAAGAAACGTCTTTTAATAACTAAACATTCACATATGGTGATTCATTCATATTTAACAGCTTTCCACTAGTGACAGATTTTTCTCCATGCTTGCTCAGCCTTTGGAAAAAGAAAACCTTTGGTAGGGGACCTACAGATCGGTAGCCATCTGGGGGACAGTGATCACCTAATAATAGAATTCTTCATAAGACGTCAAGTGGGTAAGGTAACTAGTAGGGTGAAAGTGCTAGACTTTAGGAAAGCTGATTTCAATGAACTCAGGCGATTAGTAAAGGACACACTGCAGAGTAGGAGTTTTGAAGTGATGGGAGCCCAAGAAGAGTGGCTGTGCCTTAAGGAAATGATTCTTCGGGCACAAAGGGAGACGATCCCAATGCGAGGAAAAAGCGGGAAAGGGGCCAGGAGGCTTCCTTGGCTGACCAGAGAAATCCAGGGCAGCCTACGGGCCAAAAGGGGGGCACATAAAAAGTGGAAACAGGGAGAGATCACCAAAGACGAATATACCTCCTCTGCTCGCACTTGTAGGGAGGCAGTTAGACGGGCCAAAGCTACCATGGAGCTGAGGATGGCATCCCAAGTAAAGGACAACAAGAAATTGTTTTTTAGATATATAGGGAGTAAAAGGAAGGCCCAGGGAGGAATAGGACCCCTACTAAATGGGCAGAAACAATTGGTGAAGGACAGGGGGGACAAGGCTGAACTCCTCAATGAGTTCTTTGCCTCAGTGTTCCTAAGACAGGGGCACGACAAGTCTCACTGGGATTGTAGAGAGGCAGCAGCAAGGCGCCAGACTACCATG